AATGGGCGGAGTCAGTCATGTGTTGAAATCTATGTCCGCGCTGACAAGTAGGCGTGACCGTCGGGGCAGGGTTCGCGGTGGTGTCTGGCGTGATTTGGTTGGTGAACTGCCTGGTCCAAGAAGAGTGGTGAATTTGGTTTGAAAAGTGGTGAATTTGGTTTGAAAAGTGGTGAATTTGGCTTTGAAAAGTGGTGAATTTGGTTTGAAAAGTGGTGAAGTGAGTTAAAGTGAAAATGGTATATATACTAGGATGAGGATACTCGATTATCTTATGTGGAAGTTTATGATTCGTGGGCCCAAGTTGCGTTATGGCCCCGAAAATGATTTCCGCAACGCTGACGAAAGCACTTGGTACCCCTTTGGATACCGCTTCAGCAAAAAAATTGAATTTTTAGGTAGTAGTAGTTGGATTGTACCCCTTCCCACTGGAATATGAGGAAATTGGCTTAGGAAATAATATCGAATATTTCAATTTTCATTTTTATTTCTGTATTTTGACTTGTCTGAAATCTTAATTCACTTCTATTTGCTCAGTGCTAGAGAGCGAGCTCTGAACTCGTCTTTTTTCTCGGACCTTTGACGTCATATTCTGAGAGCATAACACTTGAACGATGTCAGGTGCAAGTCTTGTGGTGGTGGAAAAATGTTCCGATGTTACTGGACTACCGGACCGAGTGGAAATCTTCAATCAGGGTACTATTCTCGGACGAAATGGTTGCGCCAAAATCATTGAACGGTTTGTGTGCTATACTTACAATTAGAGAAAAGAGCAAATATGCATTTCGCGACCATATGTGAGGTAGAATCATTTTCTTGCATGAGAAGCGAAGGATAGGTGTCACATAGCGTGTGCCGTGTGCATTTTTGCGACTGAAAAGTGGCAAGGGCGTTACGGCTAATGCCGTTTGGACTCCAGAAATTTCGGCTCCGAGCTCATTTTCAAATTGCCTAAGTCACCAAATCCACTAAAAACTTGTATATAGGGGTAATTCAACATCCTGATTACGAGTATGACACTCATTCTTGGCGCTGGCGCCAAGAGAGGACACTACGATTACCTCCTGGGCTCAGCCTTAGCAGAGCGCAGGTAACCGTAGTGTCATCCATTAGCCAGCGCCAAAAATGAATGTCATATTCGTGATCAGGATGTTGAATTACCCCTATATACAAGTTTTTAGCGGATTTGGTGATCTTGCCACTTTTAAAATGAGCTCGGAGCCGAAATTTCTGGAGTCCAAACGGCATTAGCCGGGCGTTACTAGAAACCCTGCCCATACCGAGTCTAAATACCATGAACGTTCTAGTACAGTTGTTTTCGCTGCAGACGGTGGGGTGTCTCAGGAGGCCGGGTTTGGCGCGGCGCCCGCTGCTTTCCACCAACTGTCGAAGAGGGCAAACGAAAACAGTTGGTGGGGAAGGGCTGGCACCGCGCCAAATCTAGACTCTCTGAAACTTCCCACCGTCGGCAGCGAAAGCGACTATACGTCCTGGCGTAATCGATCACCGAATACTCGTCCAAGAGTGAAAATCAACCAGGTCTCAATGGAGGCATTTTCGACCCTCTTATGTTCTCCTTCTTTGAACGGTAAAGCAATTAACACTCATAACTCCCCATAATTACGATCTAAAATCGCCAAATGTGTTTGTTTTCCAGTCATGATATTACAGGATATCCCCCGAAATAACAACCTGTATCATAGCATCGTTACTCGGTGAGCAGAGAATTCTATTGGCGGATCGTACAGTGAGCCTTCACTTCTTTTTTTGCATTTCCACAGAGGCATAAGATACGCCAACATTATCATTTAAGCGCTTTTAGGTATGTGCCGTATCGAAGTTGGTCCAGTCTATGGAGGCTCTTATTCAACCATTTTGTTGGCCTCATGTTTTCATACCTGCCGTACCAGATAATCTTATCGATTTATGTCACAATCCCACACCTTACCTCATGGGTATTTTAAGGTAAAGCTTGGTCATACTTTTCGTACAGAACTAGATTACTGATAATATATGCAGCTAAACTATACGCTTGCTACTGGTGCGCCAGGTGGAGGCGTTTTTGCAAATGTACGTTTTGGCGCGGCGCCAGCTCGTTCCTTCAATCGTTGCCACTATGGGTTGGCTGCCATTAGCAGCAACGGGTATGTGACAAGAGGATCGTAATTCGCCGCGCTGGTGGGCGTCGCGCCCGCAAATGACGATGGTTCCAGGTAGTAGATGGCGACAACAGGCAATTCAGAACCGAAAATAGTCATGAATGTTACGATGACGGGGTCTACATGAAGTCCGGTGCTCCAATGGACAGGAACACGAGTTGAGAAAACGCCGCGTCCATCGTCGCGTGGTGCGCAGCGGCAAGTTACGATTCTCTTCCGGTGGAAATAGGCTAGCGCCGCTCCGAAGCTTACGCAACATCTCCACCTGACGCTCCGATAGGCACTATACATTATTTCTGTTCTTCCAAAACATTACCTTCTGGAATCTTATTCACGATGAACTTGTTGTTAGTAGAGAGTGGTAGAAAACAATTATATGATCT